CTTATGAATTTGGGAGATGCATTGTACAAAGTGATAACTTATAAATACTGGGTTGTGGAAGAATCAGCACAAGAATGTGCTCCTGTGCTATTCACTTTGTGCATATCTGTATGTATGTGTGACATGTGATATGTCAGTGTTTGTATCAGTGAGAGTTCTCCACAGAAACAGAACTAACAGAATATATACAGATACATGTGTGCATGTATATGTGTTTTGTTTATTTACTTACTTACAGTTGATCCTTGAACAATGTGAGGGTTGGGGACACTGCCACCACACAATGAAATCTCTATATAACTTTTGATTTCCCCAAAACTTAACTACTGATAGCCTACTGTTTGACTGGAAACCTGGCTGAAAATATAAACAAGTCAATTAACACATTTTGTATATGTATTATATATTGTATTTTCACAATAAAATAAGCTAGAGAAAAGAAAATGTTAAGAAAATCGGCCGGGCGCAGTGGCTCACACCTGTAATCCCAGCACTTTGGGAGGCCGAGATGGGCGGATCACGAGGTCAGGAGATCGAGGCCATCCTGGCTAACACAGTGAAACCCCATCTCTACTAAAAATACAAAAAATAAGCCAGTTGTGGTGGCGGGCGCCTGTAGTCCCAGCTACTCGCGGAGGCTGAGGCAGGAGAATGGCGGGAACCCGGGAGGCAGAGCTTGCAGTGAGCCGAGATCGTGCCACTGCACTCCAGCCTGGGCGACAGAGTGAGACTCTGTCTCAAAAAAAAAAAAGAAAAAGAAAATCATAAGGGAGGGAAGACACTATTCATTAAATGGAAGTGGATTATCATACAGGTTTTGATCCTCATCATCTTCACATGGAGCAGGCTGAGGGGAAGGAGGAAAAGGAGGGGTTAGTCTTGCTCAGAGGAGGCAGAAATGGAAGAGGTGGCACAGGAGGAAGAAGTGGAGGATGGAGAGGCAGTCACCTGTGGTGTAACTTTATGGAAATATATCATAAGTTGTCTGACTTTTCTGCTTTTTTATTTCTCTAAGAATGTTTCTATATGGCATCAAACTTCTACCATTTGCTTTAGTTTCACAGTGCCTGTACCATAAGGGTCCATGTTAAAAGGAAATCAAAAGCAGTTTTGAAGAATGGGAACCCTTCTACCAGTTTGTCTAATGTCAATTTGTTTTCGGGCACTGCTTCTGCTTGTCTTTGTCTCATTGTCCGGCACTGGTTCAGAAGCGTTCATCTCCAGCAAGTCATCTGCTGTTAATTCCTCTGGTGTGGCATCTGCTAGCTCCTTAATTTTTTCCCTCACCCCTCACCTCATTTTCCTATTCACAGTTTCTTTCTCTTTCATGATGTCCTTGACTGGCTCTGTCGTAAATCCTGTGAAATCATGCACAACATCCAGACAGTTTCTCCAGCAGGAATTTATTGTTTTGGCTTGATGGCTTTCACAGCTTTTTCTGTAACAATGATGGCATCTTCAGTGGTGTCATCCTTCCATAAGACTTCCATAATGTTCTATCAGGGTTCTCTTCTATAATGTTGACAATCCTTTCTATAGAGTACCATGTGTAATGAGCCTTGAAGGCCCTTATGACCCCCAATTGAGAGGCTGAATTAGAGAGGTTGTGTTGGGAGGCAAGTAAACCATTTTGACATCTTCAGTGTTAAACTCATGCGGTTCTGGGTGGCCAGAAGCACTGTCCAATATCAAAAGAATTTTAAAGGATAGTGTCTTACTGGTAAGATACTTCCTGACCTCAGGGACAAGGTATCAATGGAACCAATCCAGGAAAAGGGTTCCAGTTGTCAGACCTTCCTGTTGTACAGCCAAAAGACTGAGAGCTGGTGTTATCTTTTCCCTTCAAGGCTCAGGGGTTAGCAGCTTTATAGATAAGGTCAGTCCTGATCACTAAACCTGCTTTTGCACAAAACAGTAGTTATCCTATCTATTCCTGCCTTAAATCCTGCTGCTCACTTCTCTTCCTTACTAATGAAGGTCCTTTGTGGCTTTTTTCCCCCCAGAATAGGGCACTTTTGTCTGCATTAAAAGCCTATTCAGAGGGTCAGGCATGATGACTCACGCCTGTAATCCCAGCACTTTCAGAGGCCAAGGTGGGTAGATCATCTGAGCTCAGGAGTTCGAGACCAGCCTGAGCAACATGGTGAAACCCCAACCCTAGCAAAAATACAAAAAAATAGCTGGGTGTGGTGGCAATGTGCCTGTGGTCCCAGCTTCTTGGGAGACTGAGGTGGGAGGATCTCTTGAGCCTGGGAGGTGGAGGCTGCAATGAGCTGATATCACACCACTGCACTCCAACCTGGGTGACAGAATGAGACCCTGTCTTCCAAAAAAAAAAAAAAAAAAAAACCGCATTCAGGCAGATATCCTTTCTCCTCAATGATTTTCTTAATGGTGTCATGGAACTCATCTGCTAACTCTTGATTGGCAGAAGCTCCTTCTCCTTTTATCTTGACCTTTTCTTTTTTTTTTTAGATGGAGTTTCACTCTTGTTGCTGAGGCTGGAGTGCAATGGCATGATCTTGGCTCACCACAACCTCCACCTCCCAACTTCAAGTGATTCTCCTGCCTCAGCCTCCCAAGTAGCTAGGATTACAGGTATGCACCACCATGCCCAGCCAATTTTGTATTTTTAGTAGAGATGGGGTTTCTCCATGTCAGTCAGGCTAGTCTCAAACTCCCAACCTCAGGTGATCCGCCTGCCTCAGCCTCCCAAAGTGCTGGGATTACAGTCATGAGCCACCGCACCCAGCCTGTCTTGACATTTTTAAAGTTAACCTCTTTCTAAAATTATCAAACCATCCTTTTTTGGCATTAAATTCTTCAACTTTAGATCTTTCAGTTTTGTCATATAATGACTTAGTTTTTCCTTGAATCATGACAGTCTTCTTATAGCAATCCTGCACCCACCTAAAAACTGCATTTTCAATATGAGATAAAATAGTATTTCACAAGAAGTGCAATATTTTCACACCTGCTAGTGTAGCTGCAGCAATGGCTTCATGAATTTCCTTTTTTTTTTTTTTTTTTTTCTGAGACGAAGTCTTGCTCTGTCGCCCAGGCTGGAGTGCAGTGGTGCAATCTTGGCTTACTGAAAGCTCTGCCTCCCAGGTTCACGCCATTCTCCTGCCTCAGCCTTCTGAGTAGCTTGGACTACAGGTGCGTGCCAGCACACCTGGCTAATTTTTTGTATTTTTAGTAGAGATGGGGTTTCACTGTGTTAGCCAGGATAGTCTCGATTTCCTGACCTCATGATCCGCCCGCATCGACCTCCCAAAGTGCTGGGATTACAGGCATGAGCCACCACGCCCGCCCCCCCTCCTTTTTTTTTTTTTTTTTTTTTTTACAATGATCCTTACACTGGATTCATTTATCTTCAAATAGCAGGCAGCCACAGCTGCTGACCTCAACATATGGCACATATCAAGCAATTATCTTTTTCTTGTAATATCATGACTCTTCTCTGTTTCTTGGAAGCACTTACAGCATTACTAGTGGCACTTCATATGGGTTCTATGGTGTTATTCAAAATGTATGGTATCACACCAAACATGATGAAAAATACTTGAGAACCACAAGAGATCACTTTTTACTGCAATATGCAATTTACTGGAGACTAAGTGCCCACATGGAGATGATTCACATCACATGGCTTTAAGGTGGCTGCTTGCAACACTTAAGCTTACCACAGTACCAACAGTAGGTGGTATGAAATTATTATAGGAGACAGACTTTGTATGATACCATAATGGTGAATACATGTCATGACATATTTGTCAAAATCTATGGACTGTACAACACCAACAGTGAACCCTATGGACTTTAAGTGATAACCATGTATCAATGTAGGTTCGTTGGTTATAACAAAAAATACCACACTGATGGGAGGTGTTGAGAATGGGGGAGGCCATCCAGGTTTTGGAGGAAGGCATATGGAAAATCTCTGTACTTTCTGCCTAATTTTGTTGTGAACCTAAAACCGCCCTAAAAAGTTAGTCTTTGGAAAAACACCTGACAATAGGGATTGGTGAGAGAAAGAATCAAATGGAAAAAGGAACTCATACATTAATAGTGGGAATGTTAACTAACAGTATAGGTGAGGCTATACCACCAAGTCCCAAAAAATTCACTTCTAGGTATGAACCAATAAAACCTCTTTCACACATTAACAGCACTGTTACAGCAACACTGTAGCATCTACCAACAGGAGAATGAAAATAGATTGTTTATAGTAATTGTTTTATAAACAAAGCTACAAATATCAAGCACAAATAAATTGCATAAATATGTTGAAGGTAAAAAGCAAGCTGTAGAATAATATATAGTATATAATACTTAAATACATTTCAAAATCAGGCAAAACAGTCAATTATTGACAAACTTATTTCATTTGCAAGTACAAAATACATCATTAAAATATGACACATTATCAACCATAAGATGTATTCTGATGTCAGAATGTTAAAATGTACACTTTAGCATTAATGAAATCCAGAAAATATTGTTTAGGGATATATGCACTAAAATTCTAAGGAAATATATGGGAATGATACTTTTCTAATCCATTATAGTGGTTACGTCTGCAGGAAGAGAGGAACAGAGGGAGCAATGATATGAGGGTGAGGTTAAAAATAATACAAGGTGGCCTATTATAAAAAAAAATAATACTTATGTGTTACTTATATACAAATTATCTCCAAAAAGGTAGCTGAGACATGTGATCCAGCAAAAGTAATACCACATCCCTTGTTGGAAGACGTTACCTTTTTTTTTTTTTCTTCTTTTTTTCCGAGACAGAGTGTTGCTCTGTCGCCCAGGCTGGAGTGCAGTGGCGCGATCTCGGCTCACTGCAACCTCCACCTCCTGGGTTCAAGCGATTCTCCTGCCTCAGCCTCCCGAGTAGCTGGGATTGTTACAGGCACGCGCCACCAAGCCAGTCTAATTTTTGTATTCTTAGTAGAGACGGGGTTTCACCATGTTGGCCAGGCTGCTCTCAAACTCTTGACCTCGTAATCCGCCCACCTCGGCCTCCTAAAGTGCTGAGATTACAGGCGTGAGCCACCACGCCGGGCCCAGACGTTACCCTTTTAATCCATGACCCTGTGCAAGCAGTGCTTTATACTACTTTGTCACAATTTAACAGCCGGGCGTGGCTGGCCAAAGGGCCTCCCAGGCACGGAAGCTGACCAAAGACTATCACAGGCTGAATGCCAAGATCTCATCCTTGGCCCCTGCGGTGTTAGCCATTACCACCATTACCAAGATGGTGGATGAACACACAGGAGACGGATACGCAGCACGCGGTCACGCCATCTCACCAACCTGATGATGGCGTCACAGTCACACGGCCCGTCACAATCCTGCCTGAGGCACACACGGTAACGCACACACTGGTCACGCGCGGGCCCCCACAAACAAGCTATTCCAGCCACACAGATGCAAACCTCATAGCAACACAAGACAGAAGACACACGTTCTCCTGAGCAGGCTCGGAAGGCGCACCGGCAGACGCACGCGAACATACCCATAGGCAGCCCCAGACACAGACCGTCCTACAGCTCCCGGTTGGCACAGGCTGGCTTCTATGAAGCATGCAGCCCCCTACCTGGTTCTCCCGCATACAAGCAGCACCGCCTCGCACGTCCTCCTTCACCCTGAGAACACGGGGGTCGCAGCTCCATGGCCAGGCAGGACCAGCCCGCAGTGGCCTCTGGGTAATGACCCGATACAGGGGAAAGGCGGGAAACGCCTGGCGCGAAGAGCTCTGGGGCTCGTAGTTCGGAGGGCGAGGCCTGTGCAGTGATGCAAATCGCGTGCAGGCCCAGATACTTCCCAGAGCCACAGCCCCGCACTATGCCAGGGTCCAGCTGGAAGAACTAAGGCTGAGGCCCCAACCGCTGCCCCTGCACAGGGAAGGGGCGATGCGGGGAGAGGAGGAACGGAGGGCACGGAAGTCAGAGGTGGAAAGGAACAAGCTCTTCAGATGGAGGAAGGGAGGGTTCAAGGAGCTCCTGCTCACCACCTCAGCTCGAAAGTGTTACTGTGAGGAAGCCCCAGGGGTGGGAGGCTCCTCCTGGGAGAGGAGCGCCCTGAGGATGCATGTCCAAGGGGACGGACAAGCCAAGTCAGATCTGCAGTGCACCTTAATTTGGGCAGCTCACTGCATCATAACGGTGCTCAGAGGCTGGAAGATAAAGTGGGAGGTTCAGTTTGTCCCAAGCCAGCCAGAGCAGGAGAAAGAGACCATGAGGACTTGAGGGAACAACAATGAAATGTCTCTTTGGAGGAGGTGGAACTCCTGACTCCCAGCTAGGATGGGAGAGGGAATTCTGTGTTAGGACAACCCATGATGCAAGTACAGTCTTTCATGGGTGTTGGGCCCCTGGGAGGGGCCATATTTGGGGATTTTGAGCACCAGGGCTCACCAACCTTTATCCCAGGTGCTACCCAAGGCAAGGCAATGGCTTCCTGTGGCCAACATATGCTCAAATTTTCTGCAAGAGTTGGGGTATTCAACCTTTATCTTTGGGACCAGAATAAGCTAACTACCTGGATGGTGTGGAGGAAAGGATTGCCCTCTTGATGGCAGTGAGAAGGAAGGGTCAGCAAAAGGGACCAAGAACAAACGGTCCAGGTCATAGTGCTTCCCAGCCTTCATCATGGCACAACCAGAAAATGGTAGTATTTGTATGGCACACTGGAGCTGTAAAATTAGAGTATAGGTTAAGCTGACCCCAAAATACATATTCAGTGACCTGAATATCATATATTTATTTATACCTCATGTAAAAATCTAGGGCTGAGCAGTCCAGGGCTGGTAGGATAGCTCTGCCTTCCAGAGTGAGTAGTATCCATCTTTGGGACAAAGGGGGATGTTAAAACTCTCAGCATCTCCCAGCCAGTAGGCAGAGGAAGCAGGCACAGTGCTTTCTAGGGTTGCAGATCAGAAATTACACTCATCCCTTTTGCTCACATCTCATTTGTTAAACTGCACTTCATAAAAATTAGAAACTGTTGTGCATCACAGGACATTATGAAGACAGTAAAAAGATAGCCTAAAAAATGAAGGAAAATATTTGCAAATCAGGTATAGGATAAAGGTCTATTATCTAATACACAGTAAGATCTTTTTATGACTCAACAACAAAAGACAACAAAATTAGACTTTGGGTAAAAGACATGAGTAGACATCTAGCCAAAGAAGATATACAAATGATCAATAAGCATATGAAAAGATGTTTGACCTCATTAGTCATTAGTGAAATGTAAATGAAAACCACAATAATGTACCACTTCACATCTACTAGAATGGCAATAATCAAAAAAAGGAAACTGAGTGTTAGTGAGGATGTGAAGATATTGGAAAACTGATACATTGCTGGTGGGAATGTAAAATAGTTTAGCCACTGTAGAAAATGATTTGGCAGTTCCTCAGAAAGTTAAACGTTGAATTAACATATGACTTAATGATTCTACCCCTAGGTATATACCCAAAAGAACTGAATACAAGAACATGCACACACATGTTCATAGCAGCACTATTTACAATAGCCAAAAGGTGGAAATAGCCCGGATGTCCATCAAGAGATGAATAAAGTTACCAGATTACCAAACAGATGAAAGTTCCCAAATAGACAAAATTACCAGTTGTGGTAATTCATGCAATGGAATATTATTCAGCCATAAAAAAAGAATGGAGTGTGTGTAACGCCACAACATGGATGAAGCTGCAAAATAAAGAAGGTAGATACAAAAGGTTACGTATTGCATGATTCAATTTATATGAAATACCTAAAATAAGTAAGTCCATAGAGATAGAACACAGATTAGTGGTCACTAGGGGAATAGAGGAAGGGGAGAATGGGGGAGAAAGTGCTTAATTGGTAAGAGGTTTTCCTTTGGAATGATGGAAATGTTTTGGAATTAGAAGTGGCTGTTGTGCAACACTGTGAATGTACTAAATGCCACTGAACTGTTCACTTTAAAATGATTACTTTCATATTATGTGATTTTTACTCAATAAATTATTTAAAAATGTAAATAGTCTAAACATCCCAATTAAGCAGAGATTTTCAGGCTGAATTAAAAAAAAACACCCAACTATATGATGCCTATGAGAAGCCCATTTTAAATACAAAGGTCATATTTAAATTACAAAGGTCATATTTAAATTATAATAAATAAGGTTATAATTATATTAAAAATATAAATACGTTAAAAGTAAAAAAAAAAATAGAAAAAGATATAACAATGCTAATGCTAATTTTAAAAAGATGAAGTAGACCAGGTGCTGTGGCTTATGCCTGTAAATCTAACGCTTTGGGAGGCCGAGGCAGGAAGATCCCTTGAGCCCAGTTTAAGACCAGCCTGGGCAACACAGGCAGACCTCGTCTTTATAAAAAACCAAAAAATTAGCCAGGCATGGTAGCATGTGCCTGTGGTTCCAGCTACTCAAAAAGGTGAGGTGAGAGGATCACTCAAGCCCAGGGGTCAAGGCTGCAGTGAGCTGTGATCACGCCACTGCACTCCAGCCTGGGTGACAGAGCGAGACCTTGTCTGAAAAAAAATAAAATTACTAAGCTGGAGTAGACATACTACTACCAAAGTAGATTTGAGAACTAAGAATATTAACGGACAAAGAACGTCATTTTGTAATAAAGGCATCAGTTAACAGTACAGAACAATCCCAAACGTTTATGCGTTTAGTAAAAAAAACTCCAAAACACATGAAGCAAAAACTGATGGAACAAAAAAAAAGGAATGGACAAATTCACAATTATAGCAGAGATTTCAAAACTATTCTCTCAAGAAACAGGCAAACAGTAGACTTGAACAAATTATTGCAACAGAATAGGAAATACATGAATGTACCCAAATATATCTAGTGATTAGGTATATGTTAAAGGTGACATTTCAAATATGTGGCAAATGTTGAATTATTTGTAAATGATCATTGAAAACTAGGTAACTGTATAGGGGTAAAGTTGGATTTGCACACACAAAAAAAATTAAAGAAAAAAATGAAAGCAAAAACATAACAGGAGGAAATCATGGGAAAATTTAAAAATTATCTCAGGGATATGGTCTGAATGTCTGTGTTCCCTCCAAAATTTCTAGGTTAAAACCTAATCCCTAATGTGACAATATTAAGAGGTGAGGCCATGTATGGGATTAGGGCCCTTATAAAAGGACTTGAGGTTGGCCAGGCACGGTGGCTCACGCCTGTAATCCCAGCACTTTGAGAGGCCGAGGCAGGTGGATCACGAGGTCAGGAGTTCGAGACCAGCCTGGCCAACATGGCGAAACCCCGTCTCTACTGAAAATACAAAAATTAGCCGGGCATGGTGATGGGCGCCTGTAATCCCAGCTACTCAGGAAGCTGAGGCAGGAGAATTGCTGGAACCCACGAAGCAGAAGTTGCAGTGAGCCAAGATCATGCCATTGCACTCCAACCTGGATGCCAAGAGCAAGACTCCATCTCAAAAAAAAAAAAAAAAGACGAGGTTAAAGGAAGCTCTCTCTTGCTTTCTTACCCCTTTTGCCTTCTGCCATGTGAGGATGGAGCAAGAAGGCTCTCACTAGATGCCAGCACCTTGATCTTGAATTTCCCAGACTCCAGAACTATAAGAAATAAATTTCTGTTCTTTATTATTTACCTAGTCTGTGGTATTCTGTTAAAGAGGCAAAAAAGACTAAAATAAAGAAGCGGAGTGTGCTATTAAAAATCCCTAAAAATGTGGAAGGGGCGTTGGAATTGAGTAATGGGCAAACGCTGGAAGAATCTGGAGGAGCAGGCTAGGAAAAGCCTATATTGCCATAAATGAAGCATTAAGAGTGATACTGGTGAGGGCTCAGAAGACAAGAGCTATAGAGAGAGCCTACATCTTAGAGATTATTTAAGTGGTCATGAACAGAATGTCAGTAGAAATATGGACCATAAAGGCTATTCTGATGAGGTATCAGATGGAAATGAGGAATATCTTATCGGAAATTGGAGGAAAGGCCATCGTTGTTATAAAATGGCAAAAGACTTGGCTGAATTCTGTCCATCCCTGAGGGCTCTATCAAGGAAGAAGTTAATAGCAATGAACTAGGTAGGATATTTGGCAGAAAAAAAAAATATTGAAGGAGCTGCATGGCTTCTCTTAATTGCTCTTAGTAAAATGTGAGAAAAGAGAAAAAAATCGAAGACATAATTTATAATTAAAAGTGAAGCAGAATATAAAGATGTGAAAAATGTTCAGCTTGGTCATGTAAAGAATAAAAAAGGATATTTAGATGAAAACCAAGGGTGTGGCCAATTGGCTATTCAGTAAGATTAGTATGGCTAGAAGGAAGCCAGGTTCTGTTCATCAAAATAGTGGGAGGATGACCCCAAAGACATTTTAGAGATCTCTGAGGTTGCCATGCCCACCAAAGGCCCAGAGTAGCAGGGCTTTGAGGGCAGAAAGGTTTTGAGAAAAAGGCCAGTGTGCCCATGGTACCCTGAGGCTCACTGTCCAGGGCTGCCTCGGGTCTCTGCTCCCTGCATTCCAGCACAGCACTCCGCTGCCTCTGCTGTGGCTCAAGCTGGCCCAGGATGTCATTCAGGTTGCTGCTCCAGAGGGCACAAGTGGTGAACTTTGGTAATGGCCACATGGTGCTAATTCTGCAGGTGTGCAGTGCAAGAGCTGTGGAGGCGTGGCTTCCTCCACTTAGATTTCCAGCCTGGGAAAGTTGCAAGCATGCAACTTCAACATGTGACAGCTGAAGAATGGGCTGCACCCAGCAAAGCTGTGGGGGTGGGGCTGCTCAGGGATTTGGGGGCCCAACTGCTTCCCTAGTGTGTAGAAAGTAGGACATGAAGTCAAAGATCATTCTCAAGACTAAAAATTTAATACTGTTTGCCCTTTTGTGTTTTGGACTTCGTTGAGACCTGTTACATCTTTCTTCTTTCCTATTTCTCCTTTGGAATCAAAATGTCTGCTCTATGCCATTGTATTTTGAAAGCACAAAACTTGTTTGATTTCATAGGCTTACAGCTGGAGGTAGATTTGCCTCAGAATGAATTGTGCCTTGAGTCTCACCTAGATCTGATCTGGATGAGACTCTGGACTTTAGACTTTTGAGATGATGCTGGAATGAGATTTAGGGGCTATTAAGAGAGAATTAATATATTTTTCATGTGAGAAAAACAAAATTTCTGGGGGAGGGGGTGCTACAGGTAGAATGCTATGGTTTGAATGTGTATGTCCCCTTCAAAATTCATAGGTTAAAATCTTATCTCCAAATGCTATAGTATTAAGAGGTGGGGACTTTAAGAGGTAATTAAGTCATGAGGGCAAAGTCCTCATGGATGGGATTAGGGCCCTCATAAGAGGGATTGAGGTTGAAGGGAGCTCTCTCTTGCTATCTTGCCCCTTCTGCCTTCTACCATGTGAGGATGCAACAAGAAGGCCCTCATCAGATGCCAGCATCCTGATCTTGGACGTCCCAGACTTCAGAATTATGAGAAAATAAATTTATATTCCTTTTAAATTACTCATCTCAGGTATTCTGTTATAGCAGCACTAAACGAACTAACACACCCAAGATGCAGAGGGCCTTTTAAACGTGAATCAAAACTAAGAAGCCTTAAAGGAACAAATTGGCAAATTAGATAATATAAAAGTCAATTTTTCATGGCAAAAGGACCATAAACAAATTCAAAAGACAAACAGCAAACTGGGAGAAAATAGTTGCAAGTCACACAAAGTGCTCATTTCCCTGCTATATGAGAAAAACCCTAGAGTCCAGTTGAAAATTGGGCAAAAATATCATGAGAGTTCACAGAAAAGAAGTGCAAACTCATTCAGAATAAGAAAAAAGCCCCAAATTAAAACTACATTGGGAAATTGTGTTCTACCTATCAAATTGATAAAAATCCAATAGTTGGTTGGCTTGAGCTAACAGACAAGGACTGAGAATACCTTTTCTTTTTATTTTTTTCTTTTTTTCTTTCTTTCAAGACAGAGTCTCGCTCTGTTGCCCAGGCTGGAGTGCAGTGGCGTGATCTTGGCTCACTGCAATTTCCACCTCCCAGGTTCAAGCGATTCTCCTGCCTCAGCCTCCCAAGTAGCTTGGACTACAGGTGCACGCCACCATACCCAGCTAATTTTTGTACTCTTGGTAGAGACAGGGTTTCACTATGTTGGCCAGGATGGTCTCGATCTCTTAACCTCATGATCCGCCAGCCTCGGTCTCCCAAAGTGCTGAGATTACAGGTGTGAGCCACCACGACTGGCCTCCATATACTTTTTTTTCTTTTTTTTTTTTTTTGAGACGGAGTCTCGCTCTGTCACCCAGGCTGGAGTGCAGTGGCGCAATCTTGGTTCACTGCAATCTCCACCTCTCAGGTTCACGCCATTCTGCTGCCTCAGCCTCCCGAGTAGCTGAGACTACAGGGGCCCGCCACTATGCCAGGCTAATTTTTTGTATTTTAGTAGACATGGGGTTTCACCGTGTTAGCCAGGATGGTCTTGATCTCCTGATGTCATGATCCACCCATCTCAGCCTCCCAAAGTGCTGGGATTATAGGCATGGGCCACCAAGCCTGGCCTGGCCTCCATATGCTTTAAAAATAAACATGACAGTTATGAAAATTGATCACATATGAGGCAGTAAACGAAGCCTCATTCAGTTCCAAAGAATAAATGTAAACATCAGACTATCCAGCAATAGCATTAGAAAAAGATAGCCAAGCCTTTTAAATTAAAAAAAATACATAAATTACAAAACATGA